CCCCACTTGGCAGCCGCCTTCCACAGCTGGAGGTCGGCGGGGGCCCCGGACGCGTGTTTGGGAGGCTGGACCCCTGAGGGGGCTGACGGGACACGCGGGGTGGGGGTTCCTGAGCGCCCGGTTCCCCCTTTGCCTTCCTCTGGCATTAGCTGACTGGGTCTGCTGCCGAGGGCTCTTAATGCTGTCACAGCACGATGAGGATTTGGGCGTTTCAGAGAAACGGTTGTCAGACTGCGACAATTTTTTTCCTCCTAAAGTTTCCAGTATTTTTTCCATTTTTAAAAAAAAAAAAAAGGTGTTTTGCATTAAAACCTCCAGCTGGAGGAAAACAAACTTGAAAGAATGCAGCCTTAAGTGTTTTGTGATCCCATAGCCTTGTTTATGTATAATAGATATTTTGTTGTTCATGTCGTTCTTGTGCTAAGGAGCAGAGGTAATGTATTTTTAAAGTTCAACACGTGTAAGCGTACCATGCAGAACAGCTTTCAGCATTCAGCCTACGCCTAGCTCTCCTCTCCCTCAAATTGCTCCGTTAATGCTTTGTTTCATAGCCTCTGATCCTGAATGCCTCTCTGACGTATGTTCTGACAGTTTTAGGGTCCCATAATAGGGTCCCTTGGGTCCTATAATACATGTCCTTAACTTTGCTTTAAGTCCTCTTCTTCCCCTTTTACTTGTCAACGGTTATCTAGACGCTTGCCAAAGGAGCACTTTGTAGCTTATGTGCACTTGAACAGACTAGCTGTGAAGTAGCCACATCAGGAACAAACAGTAGTGTAGCTGGAGAAGTTACAGTTATTTGGGTGTAGGCTGTAAAACCTGCTCAGATCTCAGTGCTGGCACAGCTATACTGTTACCAGGACTCATCTTCGTATATCTCAGATTAACTTGGACATCCACACTGTGCGTAACGTTCCCGGTTCCAGCACAGATATGGCCAATGTCTGATTAAGGCCAGAATGCTGACAAAGAGTCATCCTTCAGAGTTGTACGCATTGCTTCATCCTCGTCTCTTCTGTTGCTGTTCCTGTTCAGGAGAGGGGGAAGGAGGTACTCCTATGTCTTTCCTTATAGAATCACAGAATCATAGAATAGTTTGGGTTGGAAGGGACCTCTAAAGGTCACCTAGTCCAACCCCCCTGCCGTGGGCAGGGACATCTTCAACTAGATCAGGTTGCTCAGAGCCCCGTCCAACCTGACCTGGAATGTTTCCAGGGATGGGGCATCCACCACCTCTCTGGGCAACCTGGGCCAGTGCTTCACCACCCTCAGCGTAAAACATTTCTTCCTTAGATCTAGTCTAAATCTACCCCCCCTTAGTTTAAAGCCATTCCCCCTTGTCCTGTTG